AAAAAAAAAAAAAAAAAAATTATTACCCACAGATGCAGGAGACAGTTCTTCAGGTAGAAGAAAAATTATATCAGATAAATTTTTGGATCTTCACAAAACAATGAAGAGCTCTGGGAATGATACATGAGTAAGCATAAGAGAAATTTATTCTAATTTTTAATTAAAAAATAATTGTTTTAAGCAAAATTAATGTATTGTGATATTAATAACATGCAGGGATAAGATGTATGACAATAACAAAGGGTGGGAGAGGATTAATGGAAATACAATTCAATGAAAGCTTCTTATATTTTACACAAATAAGTACATTGTTTGAAGGGAGACTCAGATGTGTTAAGGAAATATATTGTAAATACTAGAGAAACTACACACACACAAAGACATATAGCCATTAGTGAAGATAAAAATGGAATGCTGAAATACATCCAAAGAAGATAGAAAAATAAGCAAAAAAGAAAAAAGAACAGATTTGAAAATAAAGAAAACAAATGGCAAGATTATCAATCCCAAATTGATTATTAGCTACATTAAATGTAAATGGTCTAAGCATTCCAACTAAAAGAAAGTAGCAAGAACTGTGAAGGATTTGAGACTTTATTTTCATAAGATAAGAGGTCAGACTGTCATACCTTCAAAGATGTTGGCAGAAAACAAAGGACTTTGTTACCTCAAGTACATGCTTACATTGGTTTCCCTTGGTAAGAGGTATGCCCAGGTGAATGCTGTGCACACAGTGGGTTTGTGTCACAGCTAAAGTAACCCCAATCTTATATAAAGAGTTACTAGCAAATCTATCCAACTTTTGTTCTGGAGGGAGACATCATCTCTATTATATCAGAAAGTAAACAAATCTGCTCTAAAGGAGACTATATCTTCCAAGTTTGCTTACTATGCAAACATCCTTGAAAAGATAGTCTAGAACAAATTATATTAAAATCTTTGCTTAGAAAACAGATACATGAAAGACCCATGGAGAATTTTCTTCCAATAGACAGAGATTGTCAAACTGAGTTTTTAAAATGCAAGAACAACTACAAACTATTAGAAACACACTATGTTTATAAATATTAAAAGGTTTAAAAATTAAATATATACAATGAAAACAAAAATCTTAAGAAAACTCGAATGACTATATTAACATAAATTGGTTGTCAGAACAAATAATATTATCAGTGCATAGATGAACATTTTATAATGATAAAACGTTCACACAAAGACATAATCATCATAAACATATGCACCCAATATCAGAGCATCAAAATATGTTAAGCAAAAACTGGAAGAATTCAAAGAATAGACAAATCCACAATTATAACTGAAATAGAAACATTCGTCGCTTAGGCAAATGATGTGACAAATAGAAAATCAGCAAAGACATAGAAGACTTAAATCACACTACCAGCCAATAATCTTACTGATATTCATAGAATATTCCACAAACATAAACAGAACACATATTCTTTCAAGTACACCACAGAACACTAAAATAGACCATCTGCTGGGCCATAAAGTAACTCTTAGTGGATTTCATAGGATTGAAGTGATAAAGAATATGTTCTTTGACCAGAAAATTAAAACAAAAAACTTTTACAATTAAATTACAGAATATAAACATACCATAATACGGACAAAAGATTTGAACTATTTCTAAAAAGATACACCAACAGCCAAGTTGTACATGAAAAGGTGAGAAATGCAAACTAATACCACTCTATACACCCATTTGAATTGGTAAAATTTTAAAAGCTGACTGTACCAACTTTGGCTAGGATAAGAAACAACTGGTATTTTCTTATACCATTGCTATGAACGTAAATGGAACAAGCACTGTAAAATTCCTAACAGTTTTCCATACATGTGAAATATGACCCAGTTATCCCACCCACATGTTCACTAAAGAGAAATAAACATGTTCACACAAGGAACTGCACAGGAATATTTATAGAGCTTTGTTCATGACAGCCTCAAAATGTACATAGCCCATTAAGTCCATGGATAGGAAAACTGATTGTTAAAATGTGGTATATCTACTTATCTTGATGAGCACTGAGTAATGTACAGAATTGTTGAATCACTTCATGGTACACTTGAAACTATTACACTATGTTAACTAAACTGGATATAAATGGAATGAAATGAAATGAAATGAAATGAAATGAAATGAAATGAAATGAAATGAAATGAAAAAGATATGTCTACAACACTGGAATATTATTGAAAGAACTTACACACACATAACATTGATGATCTTTAAAAACTTTATCTGAATGGAAAGAAGTTAAAGCACATATGATATTCCATTTATCTGGAACTCTAGAAAATATAGTTAACCTATAGGGAGAGAAAGCAGTGTTTACCGCAGACATAAATGGGAGAATATCCCATGTTCATAGATCAGAATTAATACTGTTAACATGTCCATACTACCAAAAGCAATCTACAGATCCAATGCAATCCCTATCAAAATTCCAATGTCATTTTTCACAGAAATAGAAAAAAAATCTTAAAAATTTGAATGAAACCACAAAGAACCTGAATTGTCAAAGCAATCTTGAGAAAGAACAAGGCTAGAGTCATCATATTTCCTGATTTCACACTATATTACAAAGCTATTGCAATCAAAACAGCATGGTTTGTCATAAAAATAGATGTAAAGATCAAGGGAGCAGAATAGAAAGCCCCCAAATAAACCCACATACATACTATCAGTTAATTTTTGACAAAGGACCCAATAACATATAAAGGATAGTCTCTTTAAACTTTTTTTTTCTTCTTTCAGAGAGAAAGAGAGCATGGCAGGGCGGGGGAGAGGAGCTCAAGGCAAGAGAGAGAATGAATCCCAAGCAGGCTCCACACACAGCTCGGAGCCCCATGGGGGACTCAGTCCAAGAAACCTGGGATCATGACCCGAGCAGAAATCAAGAGTTGGCCATTCAACTGAGCCAACTAGGCACCCCAAGGATAGTCTTTAATAAATGGTGTTTGGAAAACTGCACAGCTACATGCAAAAGAACAAAAATGGACTTTTTAACACCACACACAAATATGAAGTCAAAATGGATTAAAGACTTGAACATAAGACCTGAAACCATAAAACTCCTTAAAATAAAAAACATAAGCAGTAAGCTCCCTGACTTTGGTCTTGGTGATATTTTAGATTTGACACCAAAAGCAAGGGCAACAAAAGCAAAAATAAACGTAACTACATCAAACTAAAAAGCCACCTGCACAGCAAAGGAAACTACAAACAAAATGAAAAGGCAAGCTATGGAATGGGGGAAATATTTGCAAATTACATATCTGATAATGAGTTAGTATCTAAAATACACAAGTTAAGTCCAACTCAACAGCAAAAAGCAAATGACCCAATTAAAAAAAGGTCAAAGAACCTAAAAGGACATTTTCCCCACAACATACAAATGGCCAACAGGTCCATGAAATGGTGCTCAACTCACTAATTATCAGGGAAATGCAAATTAAAACCACAATGAGGTATGAACTCACACCTCTACTATATCTATTTCCAAAAAGACAAGTTATAATTGCTGGCAAGGATGTGGAGAAAAGGGAACCCTTGTATATTGTTGCTGGGATTGTCAACCGGTAGAGTAACCAAGGAAAACATGATGGAAATTCTTTGGAAATTAAAATTAAAATTACCATATATATGATACAGGAATCCCACTTTTGGATCTATAGACTACAGAAACCAAAGCATCGTCTGGAAGAGGAATCTGTAACCCCATGTTCATTGCAGTAGTACTCACAATAGCAACGTATGGAAACAACTTAATCTGTCCATTGACAAGTGAGTAAAGAAAAGGTAGTTTTTCTATTTTTCTCTCTCCCTCTAGCTGCCCAAACTCAGCAAGCTTTTCCTGGCGTGGAGGCCTTGCCTGCTTGCCTGCCACCCTAGCACTCGCCAGGAGGAGCTGTGCTGAGCGCGGTGGGGAATTGCCTCTAGAGGGCGGTAGGGAGAGGCGGGGTGGTGGAGTGACAGGCGGCGGGGGGGGCGTTGTGGCGGAGGAGGGGTGGGGCGGGGCGTTGCCGCAGAGGGGCGGGGCGGAGCCGAGGCGCCGGGCAGGGGTGGGGGCGGGGCGAGCGCCGCGAACCTGGAAAGCGGATCTGACCACGCAGTTCGCACTGTCAGGTCTGGGCGGGCCCAGAGAGGGACCCCCTAGCCGCTCTCCCCATGGGGATGTGTTTTCCCTGTCCGGGGGAGTCCGCGCCTCCCTCGCCGGACCTGGTGAGTAAGGCCGCGTCCCCGCGTCCCCGGGTTCCCGTGTCCGCCGACCCGCGCCGCGCGCACCTGTTCTCCGGAGGTGCGCGTCGGAGGCCGCGAGCTCGGGGCTCCCGGGCTGGCCGTTGGGCGCGGAGGCGCGGACCGGACAGCTTGCCGGTGGGTCTCTGCTGGCGAAGACGTGTGGACACGCTCCGAGGGACCTTGGGTCTGGCCGCGGGACCACAACCGCCGCCTCCGTGTCGGTCTCTCCACTTCCGTTACAAAAAATTGCCCAAAGGCGGCTCCGGAGTCTGTTTACCTTTCGCAGACTTGGGGGAAATTGGGAGTTCTTAAGGACGCAGGCGTACGCAGACGGTGCGGTGTGTGGGCCATTCTTGGCGATGCGGTGGATGAAGTCAGGGTGCAACTGAAGTTCTTAATCTAGGCGATGTGCGTTTTCTTGTGTCTGTACCAACTGTATAAAGAAGGTGCTTAATAAAATCTCTTACGCTCCTGTACTCTGTTGGATATTATAATAATCAGCTATTTCCCATTACCATTTTATCTCTTTATTAATTTCTTCTTTTTAAACAATAAGGATTTTACGTAGTACGGAATGTAGAGTTTGTAACTTTGCCACATCTAGTAAATAGAAATACAGAAGGCCCAGTTAAATTTGAATTTGTAGATCAAAAAAATATATATTTTAAGAATAGATGTATCTCATGCAATATTTGGGACATATACTAGAAATTATTCATTGTTTAGCTGAAATTCGTATTTAAGTGGTTTGTGGTACAAGTCATTTATACCTTTTGTAGCTTTCTATTTGTAACAGTATCTTTACATTAATAGTCCTTACAGGTTGTTGATAATAGAAAACCTAAATTACTCTCTTCTTCTACCTAAAAATTCGTTGAAGGAAGTAAGGTGTTTGGGGAAGTACATTAACTCTTCAGCCATTTGATTATAGGTACTAAAAATGATCTGGAAGTTGATATGGGAAAATTTACCTTGTCTTTCTTGCTAATGTTGCTTTTAAATGTTGTTAATTTTGTTTATTTGGCTGTTGGTAAAATACCAGTATGCCAGCATTTGTTAAGCCCTCCCCGCTATCCCCACAGATAAACACATGGTTCACTACTGGAATGTCACTTTATCTTTGGGGTTTATCCAGGACCTCCCAAAGTAAAATAGATCTCCCACTATACCGCCTACCCACCCTTCCAATTCTTAATCACCATACTCTTCTTTGTATTTTCTCAAAGCACAATTATTTAACAGACATGTTAAACAGACTTGATTATATTTAACTGTGTGCCTTCACTGGAATGTAAGTTCCATGTGGTTGGAAACATTTGTCAGGTTTTTTTACCACTGCATCCTCAGCACCTAGAAAAGTTCCTGGGGGATGATGGTTGCTCAATAAATATTTGTCCAGTGAATGAATGAATATATGTATTGTGGTAGGGTAAACAAAGAAATTATTAACACAGCTGCCAAGGGAATGCTGCTTACTGTCTTATATATTTAATGAATTTATAATTTATAATTAGTAATACATGATATAAAAAGTAATGTTCAGTGTGTCCCAACATGGAGCAGTACCTCTTAAAATTTCCTTCAGGGCTTCATGTCCTACACAATAAGATTAGCCCACTTCATTCATGACTGTTTCCTGAAAATACCACCTACCTCAAACCACATGTTTCCTTTCTCGTCTTATTAAATGCCATTTGTTTTATTATTATACTGACTAGCTTGTAAGCCTTAAAAAAAAAAGCAAATATATTATTTTATAGCACAACCTGAATACATATAATATATATGCGTTTATAATACATGTTACGTATATGTGTCTTATGTGCTTATTTGAGGGTATATCGGTTTGGAGAATGAATTTCAGGAAGTTAAGTATTTCACAAATATTGTAAATAGTGGCAGTCTTAGTGGGACGTTTTGAACGAGTACTAAATATTTTTGTAAATTGGTTTTATATATATTGGTTTATAATATATAAATTATCCATGATGTTTGGTTTTATTTTACAACATATTTTTACACACAATTTCTTTAGGAAGAGAAAAGAGCAAAGCTTGCAGAGGCTGCAGAGAGAAGACAGAAGGAGGTAAGAGTAGAAATAAAATTCTGCCCACATAGGGGTGCTGGGGTGGCTCAGTCAGTTAAGCATATGAGTTCGGTTCAGGTCTTGATCTAACGGTTTGTGAGTTCAAGCCCTGCATTGGATTCTGTGCTGACACCTGAGAGCTTGGAGCCTGCTCTGGATTCTGTGTCTCCCTCTCTCCCTGCCCCTCCCCTGCTCATGCTCTGTCTCTCAAAAAATAAATAGTAAAAAAAATTTTTTTAATAAAATTCTGCCCACATAGAAAATTGTGTTCTTTATTCTCAATAGATGTTTATTACTAGTATTCTGTAATGAAAATTGTGTCTGATATCCTATAAGTTTATATATAATCATTTTTTAAATGATTTCTGTATTTCTATAACATACATTAATGCATTTATATCATTTAATGCATGAAAATTACTGTACAGATGTCTTCTGTAATGTGAGATGCCCCTTTAATAAAACCTTCTTCTTTGGGATAAAGTGACCATACTTTATAAAGCACTGACAGATGTCAAGTTAAGTTTAGGGGAAAAATACCCAGTGAAGAAATGATGCTTTATGCAAAGCTTCTATAGAAGTAGTCTAATTCTTTGTTACCACAAATAAAACTCTCTTCCAAAGAAAAACCTAAAAAGCAACAAACAAATACCTTTTGGACACCGGATGCTAATTTTTGTTGTTCTTCTAAACCATTTAATACATTTTCTAAAGGCTGCATCTCGGGGCATTTTGGATGTTCGGTCTGTGGAAGAAAAGAGAAAGAAAAAGGAAAAAATAGAAAAACAAATTGCTACATCTGGGCCCCCACCAGAAGGTGGACTTAGGGTAAGTATTAAAATTTACTTACAGTTTAATTTATTTGGAATGTTAAAAAATGTCAGTAGCAATCTATTCAATAGTTTCTTCTTGAAATGGATTATCAGCAAATTTTAAATTAATTTAAAAGCATAAATAAATAGATTGGAAGAAGTGCCAATTTATGTGGACATTCCAGCATTTCCAAAAATGAAAATAGATTGTTTTTCCTGATTACCTTAGCACTATATTTTAATATTTTGTATTTATATGATTAATAACAATATATAGGAAACTTAATATGGAAGAGTATAAAGAAGAACATAAAATTCACCCCAATTCAGTGTCATTTTGACAGACCTCATTTCTAATCTCCATTTGTACATCAATCTTAATTGAATTGGATTACACTATAGATTCCTTTTTTTTTTTTTTTTAAATAACCTACATTTTTTTCACTGAGTGATTTGAGGATTTTGAGCTTTTCATGGTCACTCATTATCATAGTTCAGTAAATGTCAGTTTGGACAATAGACTATACGGGGTGAGTGTGACATACACACCTCCCACCTCCCAACGTAGCAGTTGCAGCTCTTGACATGGAAATACAATGATGGACAAGTTAAACAGGACCCTGAACTTGAGGATCTTTACAGTTTTCTATAAAGGTTTTCTAGAAAGGTTTTACATGTTAAAGCACAAGAAAATATTGTTCAGATACTAAGATTTTATTCTGGGGCGCCTGGGTGGCTCAGTCGGTTGAGCGTCCAACTTCAGCTCAGGTCATGATCTTACAGTGTGTGGGTTCAAGCCCCGTGTCAGGCTCTGTGCTGACAGCTCAGAGCCTGGAGCCTGTTTCCAAACCTGTGTCTCCCTCTCTCTCTGCCCCTCCCCCAAGTCTCACTTTGTCTCACTCTGTCTCTCAAAAATAAATAAATATTTTAAAAAATTAAAAAAAAAAAGATTTTATTCTTTGGTCCATTTTTAAAGGAAATAAATTTTTCAAGTAAGTGTTTTTGTCACAAGGACAATGTCCTGAATTTCAGTCATTTATATCTAACTTGTCAATGATTTATTAGCACTTATTTAGCTGATTTACTGTCTTTGCAATTCAGTTTTTTTGATTTTTAATTTTTTTAAGTCTAGTTAATATAGTGTTAATTAGTTTCAGGTGTACAACATAGCGATTCAACATCTCTATACATTTTGCTGTGCTCATCACAAGTGTAGATACCATCTGTCACCATACAATGTTATTACAATAGCACTGAGTTTTTTGGGGGAGCTCTTAAAACTATATATAAATACATACATGTATATATCCTCCTATCCCGTGGGGCCGGCAGTTTAGAAGCATCCTGAGAACAGGTGCTTCTGGCTCAGGAATATCATGCAGAAGTAAGATTTATCTGTGTGTATTTTACCATTGTATATTAATTCATCTAGTTTTGTTTAGTCAATGAAAGTAAAAGAAAATATGATTTTATCAACTTTTAACAGTGTATAGAATAATTGGTTTCAGTCTTAAGGTAAATAGCTGTGACTGTTGTGCTTATGTTTTTTATATACCTGCACAATAGAAGAGAATAAATTTTCTGGAAATTGAAACAGTTGGTTGATACAAAGTCAGGATATTTATCAGAAGTATAGATGTTTGCGTTCATTACTCTACTGAGATATAGGTGTATGCCACCAGGTTTATTTCATAGAAGTTTCTCAAAAACAGTAACAAAAATTGTGAAAATTAAAGTGTGTGGCCAGAAATTATGCTGAATTTCAGTGTTTCATAATAGAAGAAATGGGGGTATTGAGTGACAATCAAAATCACATATAATGTTATAAGAAAAAGATACTTTATATATAGTCAGAGTTAAGAAGGTATTTATTTGACATATTCTAATCTAATAAATTTAACATCAGCTTTTAAACTCTAAGAAAGAAAGTAGCTTTCTTAATTAAATCTGAAGCGTAGCCTGAAGCCTATACTTTAGAAATAAATTAGGCCATGTACTGCTTTTGGTCCCTTCAGCAGTGTTCAGAATTAAAATCATCCCAATTTTAAATTTTTTGCCTGTTTTTCTTTGTGTACTGTTCTTACAAGAAAGCTCTCTGGTTCCATTAATAAAAATCACCCTCAAGGCCATCAAGGTGGACAGTGGCTCATTGTGATAAGCCACTCCTGCTGTACTCTGGGTCATTTTCCCTTGGAATATTCCTAATCACTTCTACCATTGACACACTAGCTTTAAGAGACATGCTCCTTTCCCCTCCACCACCTGTGTAGATCATTGAGAGCATACAGTGAAGTTCAAAATAAGTTTTTAGAGATTCAATGCTAATAGAAGGGGAAACAGAAGGCAGAGAGTAACTTTAATCTTCAAACCTGTTGGCCTCAGGTCCTTTAAGGGCTGCTGCCAGGCCTGTTCTGCAGGCTGGCCTGGTGTGGCCTCTACCGTGTAGCTAGATTTTTCCTCACCAGACTTCACAGTATGAGGAAAACATGGCCTCTCTCTGTCTTCATGTACTCCACATATTCATCTCCTGACCAGCCCTGCCTCTTCCCGGGATGATTGGCATTGGCAATGCTCACTATCTTCTGGGAAGGCAACCTCATTTTTTTTTTCTTTTTAATTTCTTTGCATTGTCACATAATTTTACATTAGTTTAGTTTCAAGTGTAGAGCATAGCGATTCCACAAGTCTATACATTATGCTATGCTCACTAGAACCACCATCTGTCACCGTACAACCCTATTGCAATACCCTTGACTGTATTTTCTATGCTGTACCTTTTTTCCCTCTGACTTACTCATTCCATAACTGGAAGCCTGTATCTCCCACTCTCCTTAACCCATTTTGACCATCCTCCCGCCCGTCTCCCCACTAGCAACCATCAGTTTGTTCTCTGTATTTATGACCCTGTTTCTGTTTTTTAAAATTTGTTTTGTTTTGTCTGTTTTTACATATAAGTGAAATCATATGGTATTTGTCTTTCTCTGTCTGACTTATTTCACTCAGCATAAAACCCTCTAGGTCCATCCATGTTGTTGCAAATGGCAAGATCTCATCTTTTTTATGGCTAAGTGATATTTGTGTGTGCGTGCGTGTGTGTGTGTGTGTGTGTGT